AAAACTTTGAGAAAATCCCAAAACCAAAATGGATTTTAAAAAAAAAAAAAAAAAAAAAGAAAAAAATCATTACAAACCAAACCTGTTCTACACTGAAAATGTAGAAAATTACAACTGTGTATTGCAGGAATAGACATTGTTCTTCCAACTTTAAAATAAGCATATGCCTAATTTCATTCACATGAACAATTACATTAATCTGAATAGGAAGGACTTGCTTATGTACAGATGAGAATGTATATAAGTCCTTACAAAAACCACACTTAAAGTTAATATAAACTTAAAGAAAATCTAGATGTAAAGTTAATATAAACTTAAAGAAAACCTAGATGTCTCATATTTGTTCCAGTCATTTACTTCTTGCCATGTTTGATTTCTTGCTTTAAGTGTTAAAAACAAGGCATTGATTCCCTGGAATACCCAATGAACTTTTAATAGATACAAAGGCATATTTTGATTTGCTATTTAAGATTTTACAACTCTACTGCATTATGTGATGGGCAAGAGCCCTATAGATAAAAAAAGGGGAGAATAATATGAAAATAAGATGTTTAAATAGACATGTCTGCATTTATTCTAGGTGTCTAAACTCCCATATGGTCAAATGGATTAGTGAGAAACACTTAATTGCTGGTCAGTTGAATTTCTGAGAACAGATCTAATCAGTACAGTCAACAGCACAGTAAGTATAAGTGAAGTGTAGATATATCTGTGTAGACCCCTAAATTTAGACAGAAAACTCAAAATTACTTCCATCACAAAATGTAAGTTTGAATAGTTACATCTTACTATGGCCAGAATTCTGTTTTTCTGATAATGTTGGGATGGAACTACCTCCTAAAACAAACTACATGTGGAAGAAGCAGCTTAAATGACCCATTACAAAGTTTGACATTTCTTTGCTTACTAATGTATAATGTAATCATAAAACAGTCTAAACTTTATATGTGATGCTCTTGTATTGAAGAGCAAAATGTGCAATCATCTCTCATTTTCTATCTGAGAAGAGAAAGATCAGTTGGTTTCTTTTCATTTTAGCTTATGAGGAAGCAGGTAAAAAGTCAAAATGGGCAATATTCCACAAAAGGACTATGTTAGTTCTTAATTTGGTATCGTTTATGCTTCTTACCATTTGTGTTGTCCTGCCTGACTGAGCCTTCTTCTATACCACTTCTGTTCACCTCAGTTCATCCCAGTCCCATTTGTGGAGCTGGAAGAGGAGGGGTTCTGCTTGGCTAGCCTCTCTGCTCAGACACTGGGGAGTGGTAAGGTCAGGAGAGCACAAAAAAATTCACATCTGTTCCCAGCGAGAAGTATTTCTTTTTAATGTAATGCTGAAGAAATCAGTTGCACCTTAATCCTAGTCACAAGAGAAAATGAAGAATTCAGCTGTGCTGTATTTCTGTAGCATGGCAGTTTTCTTGAGCCTAGCTCATTGAACTCCATTATATTGATGCTAACCAAGGCATGAAAAATCAAGTAAGGAAAATAAATATATGGGCAAATGGCAAATCCTCATTAAAATCCTCGAAGTCTCATTAAAGATACCTTTCTGCCAAAGGCATGTGGCAGCTACTTCTAAGTAGTTCTTCTATTTCAACATACAAATCTAAATTCAGGTTTGACCAAGAAACAGATAGCAGAAGTTGTTGGGATGTACCATACACCACCAAGCTCTTGCAAAACTTCATGATACATTAAATAAAAATACTAACTTGGGTTAAAGACTGACATACTGAAAATAAATCCTACCAAAGCCAGAATTTTAGAACATGAAAAACTTTTTTTCATATTCCACCAAAGAAAATTAAGTCTTTCTGTTAATTATTACTGTGACACATGTACAGAACAGAACTGCAGCTGAAACCCCTGGTTAACATCTTCTGAAGCAAATGCTGTATGGTCACCTGAAAATAGATGGGCCTCTGTCCTAAAGCATGTTCAATTTTTAATTTTTTTTTACAAAAGGTATGTAAACAGAGTTATAAGCCATTCCCATGCATGGCTTTAAATGCTTGCTTTGTGATTAAAGAAGAGAATCTGTTGCTATCCACTGGTCAGCTTACTCAAAGTTGTAAGTAGGCAATTTTTCTTTACCACTTTAGAATAGAACCATAGAATCATTTAGGTTGGAAAAACCCTTGAGATCATCAAGTCCACCACTAAACTGTGTCCTTAAGTGCCACATCTGCCTGTCTTTTAAATACCTCCAGGGATGGGGACTCGACCACTTCCCTGGGCAGCCCGTTCTAATGCTTGGAAGCCCTTCCCATGAAGAAATTTTTCCTAATGTCCAAACTAAACCTCCCCTGGCGCAACTTGAGGCCATTTCCCCTCGTCCTATCGTCCATTACCAGGCAGAAGAGACCAACCCTCACCTCACTACAGCCTCCTTTCAGGCAGTTGTAGAGGGCTATCAGGTCTTCCCCTCAGCCTCCTTTTCTCCAGACTAAACAACCCCAGTTCCCTCAGCTGCTCCTCATCAGACTTGCACTCCAGACTCGTCACCAGCTTCATTGCCCTTCTCTGGACATGTTCCAGCATCTCAATGTCCTTCTTGGAGTGAGGGGCCCAAAACTGAACACAGTATTCGAGGTGCAGCCTCACCAGTGCGGAGTACAGGGGCACGATCACTTCCCTACTCCTGCTGGCCACACTGTTTCTGATACACTGATTTTTCAGTGACTTTTCAAGCAAGAAGGAAAAGACTTTTACTTACAAGAGAATGTTGCAAGTAGAATGCTTATTGTTACAGCAAAAATGGAACAAATATCTACCTGCTGGATAGCAGTTAAGGCTGTGCTTATAGATCAGGTGCATGCAGAGTGTAAATTTGGCATGTTGCGTTAGTTTGGTTTTAATGTGCTGCTGGATTCTGAGAACAAATGCCGAGGTTGGATGAAGCTAGCTCCCCAAACAAAGGGTTTGGGTAGGCTTTGCTATTTTCATGTATACATGTATTGCCAGCTCTTAGACTGAAATGATAAAAGGAAAAGCTAGATGCAATCTGTAGAATGGGAAATGATCTTTAGGTATGCAATATATGCTGTGACTGCGTATGACCTAAAGACTTACGGGTGGTAGACTGTGGTAACAGAAATCCTGGGTTACCTATGACAATGGAAAATATTAATCTCGTGCATTTAGTCTGAAATAGTTGTTTACATTACTTTATAGTCCAAAAAAGATAAAGGGGTACCTCCTAGAAACCAAATCAGTTTTTCTCCATAGTTTGTGGAGTGTGCCCAGAGGACTATTTCGAGTCGACACGTAACTTTTAGACACAGTGAAACAATGTGAGTAATACCCATGCGTAATCTGATAATCTGTGTCACTGGTGTTGGCACGTTTCAGTGCCCTCAGCTCTCAGGTCAAATCTTTGTAGCTCATGAAGCCAGTCTCTCTGTCGCCACATTGACGCAGTAAGGAGGGTCCTCCCAAGCTGGTGATGCTGGTACTGTTGTCGGAGTGGAAGGAGCTGTTCCAATGCAGTCATCTTTCAGCTTGAGGACCATGTGGGTAGGAGCAGCTGTGGGAAGTTTCCGGGAAAAGCACCTACCCAGGATGAAATTGCAGGTGGAAGGAAAATGTAGATGTCAGGCTTCTGTGTGTCGGCAAGCAAACCAAGTAGGCACTTAGCTTGCTCATCAGAGGAAAGATTCGCTTTGTTTTGAGTTGCCATAATTAGGAAGATGCTTCAAAATACAATTTCAAGATAGTCTAATCTGTGTGGAAAGCTTTGCTTTTTAATTGCCCACTAAACAAGCCTCAAGTCTGCACTTTCTTTACAGTAGTTCTGTAGAAACGTGTCTTCTACTGTTTCTTTCTGCTCTCTTCCTTTGATGTTGCATTCTCTTTGGCCGTTTCATTAGACTTCATTTATACCATTGTAGTACTAGAAGGGAAAGACCGTAGTATTGAGGTTGGCCTCTGCCTTTCTCTAGCAACTCTGTGTTACAGTATTTAAAATTTTTATTTTATTAATTATTTCTCATGCTGGTGAAGAGAAACTTGTTGCTAAGTCCTATCAGAAGCACAGAATACAGTAGCTGGTAATCTGTTTAGTCTCTGGAAGGCAACAATAAAATCTGTTAAGCATATCAGGTTTATCAAATCCTTTTGGGGCTTACTAACCTGTATTTGGATAAGTAGTTATTTTAGACAGATGGAATTTTTGGCAGTCACTGAAATTCCTCTTCTACCTACATGGAAATATTGACTGACTCTCAAATAAGATCTGATTTTGCAAATGTAAATATTGCATATTGGAGACTGCATGCTCGGAGACTGTACTTTATTTGTAAAATTATTACAGTTAGAGAGCCTTTATTTGGTATCATTCTGGTTAGCAATATATTTTACATGACAGCTGATATTATGCTCATCTAAATTCCTTTCATAAATAGAGATTCCATGTTAGTTATTCCACTCACAGCATCGCAGGCATCCTTGATTAGAGTCATACCAGTACTGACTCACAGCGTCTACTGTACAAGTGAATTAATTTCTTAAGTAGAATTTAAGATATGGTCTGGTAAAACTTAGTGACATCTTTATTTTTAAAAAATCACTACTGTGCATTAGATTTTTAATTCCTGTGGCTATAAATTAAATATTGAAAAATACAACTGCACATTGACACATCTGTAGAAGACAGACAACATTGACAAAGGCAGGAATTAGCAAAATTTATTTTGTTACTATAATTCATCCAGGGGATTAGAGCTCTAAAATGGCCTTCAACCAGTGTTTTTAATCTATAGGATAGGTAAACTGTGTTGAAAATTGACATCTGTCATAAGAACATGCTTAAGAAGTCTGAAAGTGATGTTGCAAACTGCTGTTGTCTCTTTCCAGAATGGTTCCCATAACCAAAGCTTTCCTAAGTAGGCATCTAAGTAGGGTCAATACATGCCGAGGGAGTTCTAAACTAGTAAAAATGGCTTGGAAATCATAGAACTGTAGAATCATTTAGGTTGGAAAAGACCTTTAAGATCATCGAGTCCAACAGTTAACCTAACACTGCCATCCCACCACTAAACCATGGCCCTAAGCACCTCATCTGCCCGTCTTTTAAATACCCCCAGGGATGGGGACTCAACCACTTCCCTGGGCAGCCCATTCCAGTGCCTGACAACCCTTTCTGTGAAGGAACTTTTCCCAGTGTCCAACCTAAACCTGCCCTGGTGCAACTTGAGGCCATTTCCTCTTGTCCTGTTGCTTAGTATTTGGCAGAAAAGACCAACACCCACCTGGCTACACCCTCCTTTCAGGCAGTTGTAGAGGGGCATTAAGGTCTCCCCTCAGCCTCCTCTTCTCCAGGCTGAA